TACTCAACGATGTTTCCTATGGGGATTTTCACTGAACGATGGCAATCCGTTCCAATTGGAACGGATTAACCGGTTTTCGATGCATTCCTATGTGAAATGGTGTTTCACAGAACGATGTTTCACACAACGTTGATTTTTTTGGAACCAATTAACATCGTTGTGTGAGGCACCACTGTACTCATATTCTTCCACCAAGCTGAATGCAGCAATGTACACATTTAAGTAAATAAAGGATAAAATAAAATGGGTGGAATGGGGTATGTTTCACACTCAATACACCATTTTCATTTGACTTGTCTCTCCTATGGAACTGATTTGCAAGATGCTTCCTTACTAGAGATGGGGGTATTCATATACAAATATCCCCCTACAGGTGCAGATAATGAAGGTCCATCCTCTTGGGGCCAGACCAACCACTCATGATTCCGCCGCTGCGAGCTCCAAGGAGCCTTCCTATCGCTCCGTTGCTTGCGATAGATTAATCAGTCCTGGCAGAAGGCAGGATGACGAGCCTCTCTGCCAGGTCACAGAGTGGCTAATCCATCGTGAGCAATGGAGAGATAGGAAGGTTCCATGGAGCCCACGGCAGTAGCCAAATTGTGAGTGGTCAGTCTGGCCCCAGGGGGATGGACCCTCGTTATCAGCACCTGTGTGTGTGAGGGGGGTATTCATATTCATATACAAATATCCCCATCTCTATTCCTTACCCAATGGCCTACATACTTTTACCAGAGACACACACTCTCCTCCTAACTCCAAAACCATCTCCAGCCTTGGAGGGTGTTTGACACTTGCACCCAATAGTCATCTATGACTGATGAGTTTTCCATATTATACTCCTCACAGAAAAGAACAGGAGTCTCACTTCTGCTTTTTATTCTAACGCACAATTTAAGACTATAAATTATGATGTAGAACTTGCAGTTTCCTAGCTACCATCACACTGAGTAGGTCCAGCTTTTGGTGGAACAGATCTCATCCAAAAATGTGTTTCCCAGGAACTTTGAGAAGCGCATCAACTGCTGATGTGAAGGGGCAATTCGCAAGTAACACCTTGTAGTAAGCAACTTGTTTTGCTTTATGAGATATGTAAATAGTAACTCCTCATTCTTTTGAGTAGGCATAACTTTGTAAGGTTTTTTTTACTGTTATCTACTTGCCATGATTATATGTGGACTTTTCAAGTTCCTCTATTACTAGAAAATGTGCAATAAAATGGGGTGATGGCAGCACCCAACAAATGGAATTTCTCCTGACATTTGAACAGAGAAATTCACACATTCTGGTTTAAAGTAAATGTTTTAAGATATACCACAAACAATAAGGAAATTTATACTAAAAATCAAACTCTCTTCTTCACTTAAAACATGGGAACACTTGACACCCCTTCTTGTACCTTAATATCTACCTCAAGTAAACAGTAAAACATAGTAAAACAGTAAACAGCAAAAACACTGTCTTCCCCACTCTCTCTATAGCACTGCACTTGTAGTATGGAAGAGCTGAAAAAGATTGCAAGCTCCAATACAGTGAACAGCCACAACTGTCTTATCAATATATACATAATTATCACTGGTCCAGTGCAATTGATTAATATTTAGGGAAAGGAAGCTTACTGTGTCTACTTAGTCTAGTTCTAGGTAAGCTAAGTTGTTTTCTCTTTAGGGATTCATGGAGTGGGCTGATCTCTTACATTTACTTGAGGTGGAAGTTAAAGTACAAGAAAAGTGCATCAATGTGTCCATGTTTTGATGGCACAATTTTTCATCTGAATTTCCTTACTTTTTGGAATATAGCTTCAGCCATAACTTTTGCTTTAAACCAAAAGTTTTTCCTTCTTTGGGAATTCAAGAGTTCACTTCAGGTAACTTCTAAATTCCCAAAAGAACTTCATATTTCGATTTTAGCAAAGTACAGTGTGACTATGGTGACCCACGTGGTATGGGACTCAACAAATCATAAATCCAGCAGATGTCAGAAATGTTTAAAGACTGACATTGACTACTAATTTACAATACATTAGCTGAAATCCTGTTTGCATAAATTCCACTGCATAAGGCTAATGTCAGGTCAATTTGGGGGAAATTAAACATTTTCCCCTTCCATTTTGAGAGCCTCATGGGCTCCATGTAATCTCTTTCATTGTAAGGAACCCATGTGGGCCTCTGAATGGGAGGGGAAAATGTTTCATTTCCCAAAAATTGCCCTGGGTGATGACATCATCAGCCTCAAATAGAATTTCAGAAAGTATAACAAAACTGAACAATATCTGAATATTAAAAAAAGACAGCTACCACAAGTGGGACTTGTAGCAAGGAGGACAGCTCATCCTGGTCTTCAATTGAGGTCTTAGGGTGCACCAGTCCTCCTTGATTGCTGAAAACACAGTAACTTCCCACCAGCACTTGGTCTGCTACTGTATGCCTGAATACTTCAACTTTCAATACATCTGCTAAGATTTCCTCTGTTTCCTGTAAAAAAAGAATAACATTGGGAAAATTTTAAAACTAGGGCTGTCAACATGTTAAAAGCTTTTTTAGGTTTCTGACATCTTTTTCACCCAGTTTCATTTTTAAGAGATTTAGATACACACACAAAACAAATCTAGGCTGTTGTTCTTATTGCTAGTTAGAAAGTTCCAATGAGTTCAACCTGAAATGAAAATCATTTGTGACAACTGGAAAGAAAGACCATTTAAAAGTTTTTTTTCCAACATACATGGACCAGAAAGGAGAGCTGTTATCACTTTCCAGGCTGCATCACTGCCTTCCAATATCTGCTCCACAAATAAATGAGAGGGATGAGAGGAAAAAAACCCACAATATATAATTACCAAAAAAATAACCACATCGATTTGACTCAGCATGGGAGAAAAAGGAAAGGAAGAGAAAGGTGAAATATTGTAGCACTTAACAGTTTTATTACAGTGTAAGCTTTCATGGATCAAAATCTACTTCCTCAAGCACAAACCAATATCTGCTCCACAAATAAATGAGAGGGATGAGAGGAAAAAAACCCACAATATATAATTACCAAAAAAATAACCACATCGATTTGACTCAGTATGGGAGAAAAAGGAAAGGAAGAGAAAGGTGAAATATTGTAGCACTTAACAGTTTTATTACAGTGTAAGCTTTCATGGATCAAAATTTACTTCCTCAAGCACAATAAAGTGCAAATACTATGTATTCTATATTTATACAGGCCCACAACAAGGTGAGGATACAGATCACAGACAAAATAACTGTTCACATAACATAGTAATGGGTCTATCAAGTTGTTAATTACTTGCATTAACAGCTTCTGGCCAGGGTGATAATGTTGGATGCTACAGGAATGCTAAGAAATGTTTCTGGAAATGAAGTCAGAGTCTGTCAGGGGAAACAACTATTTTATATGCTTAAAATATTTCAGAGAGATAGTTAATAAAATATAGTGTGCAAAGAAGCCTTGGCCTCTATTGAGCAAATTAAAGATGCATGAAACTTGTTCATTTTGCTTATTTTTGCCCTTCCTCTCGTTTCCCTTTATAATTTTTTTTCCTACAACAGCCATTTAGAGATACATAACAGAATGTCCGGGAAGGTTGAAATGCTCTGAAACTGGTTTCTCATCGTGATGTCAAACCTGTGCTCATTTATTCTTTTATGCAGGGCTTGCCCTGTTTGTTTTATATAGGAAGGAAACAGATGCTGATGGCATCAATCACATTATTAAAAAAACAGTGAATAAAGCCCTAATGGTGTAGCTCACAGAGGAAGTGATTTTCACCCATTAAAGCTCAAACTGTACTGAAACTGTTACTCTTAGAAGTGTACAAAATGTTGCCTTTTTTGCCAAATGTGAGTCGCCCATTAAAGTTTCCATATGTATTTTGAAACAGTTTCAAAATCTTCAAAATCTGAGAAAGGATTCCAAACAGTTGAGAAGAGAGTCTTTAACCTAACAAGTCTGTGAAGTTTCCTCTGCTCTTCTTTTAATAACTAGTCACTTATTCAACAAAACTATGTTTTATCCAGTCCTCCCTATACTCATGCGATGCCACAGAGTGTCCCCAAGAGGTTGAAATGTTCTGAAACTGGTTTCTCTCTATTGCCATTCTTGATGTCAGATGTGTGTTCTTTCATTTGTTTTAGTCACTAAACCAAAGGCAGGTTGGCAAAGGAAATTATATGGAGCGATCTGGGCAGCTGAAAGTAAATAGCTGACAAACAGTTCGCGAAACCGATTAAATCAAATTACATTTAAACAGCTCCCAAACCACGGGTTCATTCTAGCAGTAAATATTCCAAATCAATTTTGTTAATCATACTGACTAGAAAGTTATAATCTCTTTTAAGAACAGCATCCTGTTATTAATTTATGTTTAAAAATGTAAACAATTTGTCAGCAACTACAGGTTTATTTGCATGCTTGACTGTTCTGCAATAATCACAATCGCCCTCACACGTCTTATGTAATGATAGATAATAAAAACACTTATATTTGTTTTTCATGATATGCAGACAAGTGCAAACTCTGACATGAATGACCAAGTCTGGAAGGAAAAACATGTACGAAATTGTCTCAAATACCTTTTCTCTGTAGGAATTGTTCTTTCACCGACATATTAGCTGACTAAATAGATCAACTACAGCCCTAGGTTTCAGGACTGAGATATATTTTTATTAAATCCCCACAGCCTTCACTATGCTGCACATCCTCTTCATTTTCTGCCTCACTCTTTTAGTTTTGGATCTCCTTCATGGTCCAGCTTCTCCAACTAATTAAAAACTCCTTCCCATATAAAATTCTGTACAGACAGTGAGGCTGTTTAGAAAGAAACTTTACCTGCCTGTTCAGGGGTAAAGGTCACATTCATTCTTGACAGTCCATAGTCCATATAATCAGCCTCATTTATATTAGAAAAGTAACAGAGCTGCCTGTTGCAAAGCCCATACAACTGCAAAACCATAAATGGGAGAATGAGGTTGTCCCCAAAACTGCTCCTGCTAATTCAGTAAGAGCAGCACACTAAGTGCAGAAAAATTCAGATGAAATTAAACTCATTTACTCTGTCAATGTCTGGATGAACAAGTGCTACATAGTCATTGCATGTGATGACATTGCCTAAGGCAGAAAGGCGCTCTTCAACTCTCTGGATTCGCACTGAGTCTGGAAGGCAGTTTCGGATGTGCTGAAGCTCCTGGTCTGTGGTATTGTTGGGAACTAACAATCCATGCCTGTTTCCTAAAAAATAAAAAAAATGAGGATAAGGGGTAAGATTTCTACCTCAAGTCTCTCCCTTCCATTAAGCATTTAGTTAAAAAAAACTATAATATAATCATGAGGCCGGAAGGGAGCAAAAGCACATTTAACCCGAATTCCAGCAGCAGCACCATTACTGCTATTTTCGAACAGTCCAAACATACTGCCTCACTCTGAATGGAAAGACTACACAAACACGCCCATACTGCTCATAGCTCCAGATATTGGCTGAAATCCTGCTGCTTGGCATAGTGAGTCATACTGGAGTAGGTCCATTCAGTCCACAAGGACCAAGTGAGTCAATTCTTCCCTAAGTTCTACTTATTCAAATGAGCTACTCTAGTTGTGATTTACTATGCTATTTCAGCCAGTGTTTCCTAAAACACTGGGGGGGGGGGACCAACCTTTGAGAATACTTGCATGATCTTATTCAAAAGATATTCAAAATGAGCAAAACTCTAGATAAGTTCACATCTTAAAACTGCAGAGTTGGTTCGCAGACATTCTTCAGAATAACAGAAAATATCAGAACTGGACATTTTCCAAGAATTACTAATTTATTTATTTTTATTTATTTACTGGATTTCTATCCTGCCCATCTAGACCAAAGATCTACTCTGGGCAGTTTAACTAAGGTTAAACTAGAAGGAAATGCACTTTTATTTTTATACAGCAATCAGCTCATTGCAATGCAACTTACCCACACACATTCTGCCAATAATTCGACATTCAGCAATAGAAGCATGGACTACAGGGATAGTATCAGCAAGTTCCCCTTCAAACACACTAAAAAAACAACAACACAGAAAAATTATGTAATACAGTCAGCACCATCCCATTCAGATCAAAGAAGGACATGCTATCAAGAACTATAATAAAGCAAGGACCTGCATACGGATACTTGCATAAATCTGCTGCTGGGAAAGACTTAATACATTATACGATTTTCCTGTAGCAGAAGAAGTAACATGACACCGGGCCTTTTCACTAGGCCGGAAAAAGTGCGAGCAAGGTAAGCAGAGTTTATGAACACACACACGACAGAAGAGAGTATGGATCAATAAGCGTTAGAGAAGATCTGTGCACCCTTTCCCACCTCACTCTCTCTCTTAGGGCTCACAACTGGAGGCTCCTAAAAGCGATAAGCCCCTCACCAAGAACTTAAAGCAGTTCTCCTGTCATGAAAAAGCACCATCATAATCTCTGCCGAGGCTTATCAATATTCCTAAAAGCGGCTGAGGCGGAGACCCGAGGAAGCGCCTCAACGGCCATCGAGGGGCCGCAAAAGCCCAGTATAAGGGAGGGGCCCACGGGTTCCGGTGGCCCAAAGGTGAACAGATCCAAAGAAATGCCGGCAAGATCCCTCTCCGAAGGCCGAAGGCGACGGGCCTTTTCAAGAAGCCCTAGAAGAGAGACCGAAGGGCAGAAGTCCTCAGGCCCCGGCCATTACCTGTAGAAGCCCTCAGAGCCCCCGATGCCCACCAAGCAGTAGGTGTTGGTGAGCTTGGCGAAGCAGCCGATCTCGTTGTTGTTCT